ATGTATGTTAAAAAAAAATTTCCAAAAATGAATATTCTCTTTTTCTTTCAATTTCGAAAAAAAAAATATATATTCCGAAAATATTGTAAAAATATTATTTTTATTCAATTTGAAGGTTAAAATTGGGATATGAAAATGGGGCAATTACAAAAATACCAGTTTTGTGTGCACATTTGCAAGAATGCCACTTAGGATTGCCCATTTGCAAAAATACCACTAATTATAGATTTATAAAGCATATATCTTAAAATTCTAAACCTTAAAAAATATTTTGACCCCTAAGACCCCCTAAACCCTCATAACTAAACCCTAATAGAACATAATTAACCCAAACATAAATGATATAAAGAAAAAATAATTTTAAAAAAGTGATATTTTTGTAAATATTTCAAAAGTCTGACATTTTTGTAAAGTGGCAATTGAAAAGTGGCATTTTTTGAAAATTCTCTATGAAAATAGCAATGGTTATTGGGACAAGAAATCATAGGTAGAAGGTTAATTTACAAAAAAAAACTAATTCAAACTGAGTCAATTTAGCAAATTTCCCATTTAAGAATTCTAAAAATCATTAAGAATCCTACTCCCAATAACACCCCTAAGATTTTGTTTTACATTTTCGTTTTCTTTATGCATTGCAATCATAACACACCTACAAACAAATACACATGCGATTAGATCCTCATAAACAACACATAGAAATTGAGAATTGAACTTAACAGATACATTATTTATTTTTATTGTTGAAATGTTATATTATTTATCAACAAAAGAAAAAAGAGGTTACATCATGGTAATTTGAGCTAAATTAGCTAAACCGCCATGTTTACATGTTTGTTGGAAAACAAAAACCAGAGCTTATGTAAAATGTTAGATAAAATACCAAATAGTTTTTGTCAACATACACATGAACTTCAATTAGCACACAAAAATTGGTTTACCAAATCAGTGAAATAAAGTTTTTACATTTTAGGCAAGATTTCTTTGGGATCTTTGACTTTACCATAGCGGTAAAAAATGGAGCAATACATGTAGAATGTAGAGTAGATTTTATGGATCCTGTAAAGAAACCTTTGAATTTGACCCATTTTGTTCCGTTATATATGGTAGACAGTAACAATCAATATTTAAGGAGGAAAAGATATTTAAAACCAGAAATGATCTTGATTTAGCAGGAGAAATCTATTATATTTTTCGTTGTTAAACGTCAATCTACAAATGTATTTGACAGTTTGACACTTGCATTTGAATGTATATATAGGACAAAAATATAGCAAACTCTATAGGTTAATAAGATATTTGAATGTACTATTAGTCAAACTCTAAATAAAATCCAATTAGTCAAAGCATAATCCAATATTGCCAAACTCTATAGGTTAATGAAGACACTATACTATTAACCGAAGTTGATATTTTACAATCTTCAAAATTAATCCAATCACATTTATCTACTTGTTATTGGCCATCGCCAAATAATTCAAACAATTCAATGTCTTAACATAAAAGAAGAAATGCCTTAAAATAAAATAAAAAACAAAACAACGACGAGAAAGATTTGGATTTGGAACAGAAGCGCATATTCTTAATCAACGCAAATAGACAATGGCGCAAATAGAAGCGCATATTGTTAATCAATGCAAAATACACAAATTCCCATGACTAAAACCTCACTAACGATCAACCTAATAACTTGGTAGACCGTATACCTACCAAACAGTGTCCGGATCAACCGATGTAATTAATTATAGGACCGAAGTAATCATGCGATTCATAAAAGAGAAGGATAGTGGTAAGAATGAGTTCAGGTTCAGGATCAGCGCTTCTTTGGAGGAGAGCTGGAAGACTGGGAGCGAGACCGGCCACGCTTAGACTGGAGAGAACTACCACCGATGTGGAACTCGCCCTTCCCAAGACATCCGATAGCGTTTCCCATAGCATGCACTGTGGATAATGCCTCGTCCCGCTCTATCTTCACCATCTCAATACGCTCCTTCAAACGTTTAACTTGATTAGCCAGAGATTGGTTTTCCTCCTCCAATGTCTGAATTCTCCGATGGAGACCCATGAGATGAGCACCACCTTCTGCATTGTGAAGGCGGTTCCATAATTTCTCAAGATATCCTGGATAGCCTACACATCAGGCAAATGGAAAAGAGAGTCAATAACATAACTCCTCCACTATACCTCGGACAACACTGAAAGCATGCATGAAGCAAGAAGACATATATGACCCAAAAAAAGAAAGAGATCAATAACACTAACCCACGAACTCGAAAGGATGATAAAACGATGCAACAAGCGAACTATCATAGATGCACTCGGTACTTAGCAGGAAACGAGGATCTCGGAGACGACGATCCAAATCAAACAACACATCTGGAAAAACTGGATACGAATGTCGAACCGGTGGGACAAAACCTAGCAAACAGCGAACCAGATTTTAGGGTTTAGGGTACAGAAAGCTAACCCAACACAAAATGTTCTCTGTTAGTACAATACATACCCGGAGGAGACCATGAGCGAGAAATAGCAAGAGGACCACGATGAAGTACATAGATATAGTGTCCGCCTTCTTCAGATGGATTCAACCAATCAGGGATAAGCACCGGAGATCTAGCACCGCTCCGGGGAAGGAGTTCGAATCGCCTTGAATTGAAGGCTGTTTCTTCAACCCTAAACGCCCCTGCCACCATGAGGCCAGTAACAAAGATACCAGAGAGGTCAGAGAGGACTTGAATCGCGTTCATAAGACCCCATGATGGAAGTGTTAGCTGGCTCGGAGCAATCTCAACTTCTGCACATAGTTCACCAATAATTCTTGGGATTTGTTGACGGAAACCGGCAAGAAAGCTTGACATAAAGACTGTGACGTATCCGTAGGGAGATAAATCGGGAACACTCCCATCATCCGGATAAGTGATATCAAGAACGGGAATGATATGATTGGGAGATTCTTGACC